CAAGTCCGGGAAACGTGCTGTCCATTTTATTGGTCTTCTACGACCTATCCACTTGTTCGGGAAATTTTGGGATAGTCATTCTCTCACGGACTTCGAAGATGATGAATAGAAATCTGTTGGCAGAGGTGAGAGAATGGCTACCCCAAATTTCCCAAACAAATGGATCGGTCGTAGAGGACCAATAAAATGGCCAGCATGCTCGCCGGACATGGCACCCAATGATCTTATACTTTGTGGTCATTCGGAATCCATTGTTTATAAAACGAGATCTACTTATCTGGATGATAAGGAAAAAAGAATAAGAGTTTTTTTTCTTGGAAGCTGGTCCTGTCACCGGCTACACCTCAGCCTTTTTGTGCATTCCAGTTTATTTTACAGCACCCATTCCGTAGCTCTTTTTCCCTGGACCAGTCTGTATAGGTTCTTCACCAGTTGGCTGTTGTATTCTTCGAGAGTCAGCCTAGGCTGCCCGAATATTTCTTGTCTTTTGCGATCCAATGCCTCGCCACAGAATACTCAACAATCATTCTATTAATGAGTGTTTGGCCGTTTCTGTCCCTTTACCGCATTGTCTGCAGAGAAGTTCTCCATTGTACAGTCCCATTTTATTCAGGTGTCCTCTCGTTGGACTGTGACCAGTGAGAAGTCCCGTTATTGTTCTGACTTGGTTCCTACTCATTTCGAGTAGTTCTTCAGATTTATTTTTTGACGGTTCTTCAATGAATACTTTCCCCGAGGGGCGAATCGCTAATGAAGTCTGGTGTACACGTTGATGAAGTCTCGATGAAGTCACTGAAGTCATGATGAAGTCAGTGAAGTCACGATGAAGTCACTGAAGTCTCGATGAAGTCAGTGAAGTCTCGATGAAATCAGTGAATTCATGATGAAGTCAGTGAAGTCATGATGAAGTCAGTGAAGTCTCGTTACTGAAAATCGTAATATAAATACGTACCAGGTTTGTCTGAATTTCAAGAAGAATAATATCATATATCATATTAGGAAAATATGCGTTATCAATACTATACAGTCGATCATTAGTTCAAACAACGAACGCCAAAATAGGTCGAATAGGGTAAACAAATCGTGTAGTCGCAAATTTTTGTACAGTGGTAGAGGGAAGTGTCATGAACAATTTACTTGAAGTCCTGACCCATAGGGGATGAGCAGGGCGGTAGGGGAGCGTTTGAACGTCATTTTTTCAAGTTGTTCTTGAATAATTCGAAAATCGCAACCTCTAGTGGAAAATTGAATTATACAAAATTGAACAACATAAAATGTCCTATAAAAAAGTTTTCATTCGTGTTTTGTCTAGAATGAATAGTTTACAATGGATGAAAATATCGAGAAGTAACAAAAATAGAGTTTATGGGTATGAAATCAATGTTCAATGTCTCACTATTTCCTGGCGTTTCATGAAATGAATACCTATGGGCTAAGTGAGTTTTTCACTTGAATAAGAGGTTATCTATAAACAATAACTGAGTTTTCGTATAAAGAGTTGTTCGACCTATTTCAAGGTTGAAGACGAAATAATGTGCTGACGGGACTTGTCGATTTCGTTTGACTGGTATTGCTAGTGATTGAATGATAGAACAGATTCCTGCGAAACATTTCCCTTGCAAGTATGAAAGTTGGAGGTTTCGACTCGAGAACAAAAAACAGTAACGGGATGGATCGCTCATCCCAGTGACAACGAATGATCCAGTAGCACCTGAAGCGATACTGAACAGAATCTTTTGCCGATGTTCAACTGAATGTAGGGGACAATATGAAAAGCTGAAATTTCATGCTCCACTGTGTGCAGCATGTGCCACCGTTGCTAGATATGGAAAATGTGGACGAAGATGATGATTATAATTGTCAATTATTAAAACGTATACATTCAATATGTTTGTTTTCAAGGAATAATGTATTTGTTTCTGTTATCAGCCACGTTGAACACGAATTCCATGATGTGAGACATTGAACATGAATTTCAAACTCTATTTTTGATACTTCTCAATTTTTTCTCTTCCTCAGGAACTATTCATTGTAGACGAAATATTAAAAGAGACGTTTTCATAGGCAATTCCATGTTGTTCAATTTTGTATACCTCCATTTTTTCGCTAGAGTTTGCGATTGTCGAATTATTCAAGAACAACTTGAGAAAATTACCTTCAAACGTTCCACTACTGCCTAGCTCATCCCCTAGGGGTCAGGACTTTTAGTATGTTGTTCATAGCACTTTTCTTTATCACTCTACAGAAATTCACGACTACACGATTTTTTCCCCTATTTTTTTCCCCTATTTTTTGTTCGTTCAATGAACTAGATAATGACGTCACTTCTCAACGTAATATCTCAATGAAAATCTTGAGAAGTATCAAGTAGTCTGTGGAATACCAAGAAATACATGTTCCAAGAAGTACGAATAAAGTCACTGAAGTCTCGATGAAGTCAGTGAAGTCTTGATGAAGTCAGTGAAGTCACGATGAATTCACTGAAGTCTCGATGAAGTCAGTGAAGTCATGATGAAGTCAGTGAAGTCATGATGAAGTCAGTGAAGTCTCGATGAAGTCAGTGAAGTCTTAGGAGAATGTGAAGTCAGGTGTACAAATTTTCGTCTGCGGTTCGCCCCTCGACTTTCCCGTAGCGCATGTGAGGGGCTTCACTCCATCGCTCCTTATGTTTTCGCTTGATCCAGTCCCGTATTTGGCCTCGGGTAGCTGTTTTTGTAACCCCGAGTACGGGTTCTGGGCCAATGTATGGAGTTGATGAGCCGGTTCTTGCCAGTTCATCAGCTTTTTCGTTCCCTACGATGCCGCAATGTCCTGAAACCCATAACAGGGTGATTTTGTTATAATCTGACAGGGCATTGAGTTCTTCTCTGCATTCCCGTACCAGCCTGGATGTCACTTTCGGGTTCGTGAGAGCTTTCAGCAGGCTATTGCTTCATATTTTGATCCGTGCATTGCGCACTTGTTCTTATACATTGCAAGATTGCGTACATTTCCACTTGAAATACGGAAGTGTTTATTCCCAGTGAGAAGCTCATTTGGGAGTTTCTCCCTTCACTGTAAATTCCAGCACCAGAGCCTTCCTTGGTCATGGACCCGTCTGTGTACCAGATCTTTTTTTCCAGTTTTGCCCTTGATGTTGTCATCTGTCCATTCCCTTCGATCTTGCATGATCACCTCGAAGTTCATGTTGAAGCAGTATATTGGGGTAGTGTGGTCCGTTGGTTTCATTTCAAGAATGTTTCCTCCCACTATTTCCTTTATTTTGTTGTGTCCCCATCTATTGCTCGTGTTTTGTAGCCTTAGATGTCCCATTCTAGCCTCTTCCATGATAACTATGTCTATCGGGGGGAGGTTTAGTAGTGCTTCCATGGCTGCTGTTGGTGTTGTTTTGATAGCTCCCGTTATGCTGAGGCATGCAAGTCTTTGTACCTTGCTCAACTCAGCCGCGGCTATTTTTTGGTTTATCTTTGTCCACCATACCAAAGATGCGTATGTGATCATGGGTTTCACCACAATGTTGTATGTCCAATACATCATTTTGGGGTTAGAATGCCAGGCAATAACCAGAGAAACATTTCAAATGTGCGAAAGCAATTTGCAAATAGATTCTACTACTGTCTGTGGGAGTCAATCGAGGCATACCATGTGAACTCGAATATCTCTAGAACTGTTGGATTTGAAACAAGTTTGCACTGCTGGTGTCAGAATTAAATTACCTTTGCAATGATGAATAACACGACCCTTATTCCCTATTCAAATTATTGGTTGGGTTGCTCTGGGGAGTAGAGGGTTGAAGTATGGAATGATGATGTTGCGTCAAACGCTGTTCCCCTTCCTTATAAAAATCGACGTGTTTCGTTATTTTTTTGTAAACTCATTTTTCTCAGAGATATCGAGGATCTTGAATGGACAACCCGGTATATAGTTGCATTGGAAGCATGAATATAATGAAATATCGTGAATTTCAATGGATATTTAAAACATGTACTGATCTCTCAGGAGTATTCCACTTGAAGAAGCTACTGTGTTAGCGAATCATGTTGTGCTATTGAGAATTTTGCATAAATCTCACCTTCTGTGAAGTTCTTTACATTCGCTATACAGGCTGTTATTAAAGTATGTGATCAAATTTCAAGGGGTGATTATTTGAGTGATTCTAAAACGAGAAGTTCATAGGTCTGGAAATGCAATGTTTTGTGAAGTTACATAATATATAAAGTTATTGAACATCGTTGTTGGGATTTGCCAAAGGATATGTTGGGAATTTGTTCGTGTTCAACAAGCGAGATATTATATTTCAAGTTCTATCACAAACTTGTTTCGCTAATTTGCTATATAGTGCTCTGATTCCCAACTGAATAAAGTTTTAATTGATTCAACAATAATTAATGGAATGTACCTGTAGGCAGTGGTAGTCCAAGATTCCATATTTTGTGAATGCTACATTTTTTTGGGATAAACGTGATGATAAGAATAAGAAGTAACGAGTTGTAACGACTGATAATCCAGGAATTGATTGAACACTTAATTTGATTTCTTGTTCTGTTTCTTCAATAAATCAGTCTCAGTTATTGATATGTTCAATCGTGAATTTATTATCGGAAAAAACGCAACCAAAAATTGAAAATGGACATGTCTCAGCGTTTTTCCAATAAAACAAAATACTGAATCTCAAATGACTCTGTTTCAACCCACACAGCCTCACTGCTTCCAAAATTCCACTATAATTATGTAAGCAATCAATAATATTGACTCGAATCAATCTACCTATTAGAAATCTTAAGATGATCACCGTTGTGACTAGTGTCCAATGTTCATACTGCTTTCACTCATATTCCTCATTATATGATTAACTCACGCTCAAGTGTATGTTTATATATACTTCCTATTCACGAATTTGTGAATTTACATATATCATTCTAGGTTTCCTTGAGATAAAGGATGAATACACGTTGGTATTCGTTGCTGCATATAATCAGAGCTGGACTTTATTGTTACAGGTGCTGCACACGAAAATTGAGTCAGAACATGTGATGAAGAAGAGGAATGCTGATCAGTCATTGAGAATACTCCTGTTCTATGACCAAAGTGTATACAGGTATGTGCAAACTAGGAAAAGATTATGTGTTATGTATGTGTTACTAGGGATTACTAACAAATTCTGTGTCGAATCTCACAACCCATCTTAACTGGATGTATTTGCATTATTTAGATAGCCATTCTGTTTTTCTCATTTCATACTATACATTTCACACTATATATTTTAATATAGGAAACTGTAGAATTCAAACACACTTTCTGTTGTACAACGTCTTTATTCGTTCACTACTCAACAGTAAGTGCCGCATTCTACATCAACGAGATCATTACCTTATGTCCGATGATTCTTGCATACACTAGAGAAACCATGTGAAGAATTGATAGATCTTGAATTTTTGAGGTTTTTCAATTGATTTTAACAAATTGTTCCTGTATATAGCCCCTTATTTCAACCTATCTTCTGTGTGAAAGAGAGAGAAGAGAAGAGGTGTATATACCCATCCTTTTTCTATCAATTCATTGTATTCATCCTACTTTCTGTGAGGAAATCGATTTTTTGATGTTCTTTCAATCAAATGCGCTTCCCTTAAAAGATGTAAAGAATGTGTTTACATAGGCACTGTATGCACTTTTCAAATCAACAAAAAATGTATAGGGTGAACCTGGAAAAAATGAAGTTGAAGGTTTTCAGGGATAGTTTGATAGAACTTGACTTTCACACAATGCCTTCAATGTCATTTGGGTTTGACAAAGTAATTTTGTTATTTCTTTTTCTAAGCAGCATAGATATTGGCTGTATGAAATGATCTGGGACACCCGGTATAGTCAGCAAATCAACGTGAAGAATTGATTGATTAGGTTTTTTTTTAGGTTTTTTCAAGCGTTTTTTGCCAATTGCTCTCTCATTTCAATCTATCTTTTGTGAAAAAATCAAAGGTGAAGAATTGATTCGTTCTGATTTTTTGAGGTTCTTTCAATCATATTTTCCCAATTGCTTTCCTCCTATACCAATAAAATCAAGGTGTTGAGGTTAAAATTAATTTCATGACACATTTATCACTTCTGTTTCATTTTGATTGTGTCATTGGAGCATATGAAATGTATGGTAACAAAAAAGACATTATATTTGATGAGTCACTTCATGTAAATGTACGATGTTTTGTCATTGAATACTAATAATTGATACAGAGTTGCATAGTGCATATTGTATTTGTGCACACCTTGCGTTTCTTTTATCTTATGACCTGAAATGTTATTGCGAGTGCGGTTATGAAAACCAATACATATTTCACAAATGCCTTCAATAACGACACAGATTCGTGATTACTGAAACTTAATGTTCGAGCGTTTTCTTTTCAGAATTGAAACACTAGGAATGAATAAATAAAGGATGATAACTATTGGCGCCCAACCCTATCTCAGATCCTCAGTTGTCAGCAATATCCACATGGATTTGAAACTTCAAACTCCAACACAAACTAACGACAAGCGAACTTTTAGTGCCTATGAATCATAAATTATACGTATAAAATTTGTCGAAAACTTTGTTATCATTCCAAGATAATGAGGGTGTATGTTCTACGCAAATTAAATAAAAGTTTAGTAGAAGTCAACTTTTCGAGTTTCTTTCAAAATTATGGATTTTTCATGTCCCCTCAATGCTAATGTTAGTGAATTCTTATTGTATGAAGTCATCAGTCAATATTATGATATAGTGATTTTGTTGCATTTCATATTCCATTTTCAGCAGCATTACCAATTTTAAATTTCAAATATCGATTATTTTGAAGAAAACATCTTTTTTTTTTCCAGATTGGATGAAGAAAGATTCAAGTTAATCAACGTAAGTATGATAATTTCACGATATTTCTAACGTCATGAGGACATGCAGTTGTTTCTTCTTATTCTTTTCAATTTTTCGTATAGAAATTTCTATTCTCAATTCATTAATTTTTTTATATTCAAAATAATTCTTGAATTCATTCATTCTGAGTCATCAAGTCATCAAGTCATCAAGTCATCAAGTCATCAAGTCATCAATTCATCAATTCATCAATTCATCAATTCATCAATACATTAATTCATTAATTCATTAATTCATTAATTCATTAATTCATTAATTCATTGATTCATTAATTCATTAATTCATTAATTCATTGATTCATTGATTCATTAATTCATTAATTCATTAATTCATTAATTCATTAATTCATTAATTCATTAATTCATTTATTCATTAATTCATTAATTCATCAATTCATCAATTCATCAATTCATCAATTCATCAATTCATCAATTCATCAATTCATCAATCCATTAATTCATTAATTCAATCATTGATGCATTCATTAATCTATGAAGAGATGCAATACAGAACAAGTTCTCTGCCTTTGTAAAAAACCCGTATTCATCCGTAAAAAAGCAGCAGAACAAAAAATGAAAATGAATAATTTTACAGGGTGTATGGTTCACCCACGTATATCAGGTAGGAGGTGGTAGGTAATGTGTTTTTGAACATATTCATTCATGGTACTGGGTTGTGGACTCACGACTATCCACCCTCGATAACTCTCGAAATAATGATTTTACATAAAAACAACGAAACACGTCGATTTTCATTTGGTTGGGGGACACCATTTGACGAAAAGCAGATAATATATACTTCCACCCTCTACTCCCCAGAGCAAACCTCTCTATAATTTGAATATGGAAAAAGGGTTATGTTATTCATCATTGCAAAGGTAATTAAATTCTGACACTAGTTTCTTGAATTGCAACACGCCGTTCTCGAGATGTTCGAGTTCAAATGTTATCAATTGTTAGTAAATGTACGAAATGAATCGAATGGTTATTCACAAACAAGTTCAAACTAACCACCATTGACCTCCAGACAGTTATTGCCAGGCATTCAATCCTTTTGCTTTTCTCCAAACTGTCCAGATTAGTTAATAACTGATTTTAAATGACCCCAAACAAATAAATCGTTGGGTGCCAAGTCCGGCGAGCGTGCTAGCCATTCTATTGGTCCTCTACGACCTATCCATTTGTTTGGGAAATTTTGGGATAGTCATTTTTTCACCTGTAATACGAAATGGGGTGGCCCACTATCTATCTATCTTGTTGAATTATCGAAGTCCATGAGAGAATGGCTATCCCTAAAATTTCCCAAACAAATTGATTGGTCGTAGAGGACCAATAGAATGGCTCGTCGGACTTGGCACCCAACGATTTTTTCATTTGGGGTAATTTCAAATCCGTTTTTAACAGAATCTACTGATTTGGACAGTTTGGAAAATATAATAAGGATTGAATGCCAGGCAATAACATTTAACATTTTCAAACCTGCATGAGAAATTTGCAAATAGACTCCACCACTGTCTGCATGGGCGTCAATGGAGCTCATTTTGAACATTTTCGTGAATAACACATTCATTTATTCACTAACAATTGGAAAAAATATTATAACTCGAATATCTTGAGAACGGCTTGTTGCAATTCAAAAAACTTTGCATTGCTAGTGTTAGAAGAAATAACATAATCCTCATTCCCTATTCATACTCTGGGGAGAAGAGGGTATAGTATATATTATATATTATAAGTATATATTATCTGTATCATGATCAAGTAAGAGAATATCCCATTGATTAGCATGTGATCACAAAATGAGAAACAGCAAAGCAGAGAAAAAACAACCAATATTGCACAAGGAAGTTTTGAAGTTTAGCGTATCTCAAGTATGAGACTGTGATCAATCAAGAAGATAAGATCGACAAAAATAACTTAACTAACTAAATATAACATTTTCTTACGAATGAGAACAGGAAAACTCATCAATGAAAAAGTAATTACTCTGAGCAAATATGAAAGATATTTCTTTCATCTTCACTGGATATATCCAACTTTCTCTACCAGTGGGGAATTATCTTTATTAAATCGTTGGTGAGAATAAGAAATAATTTTGGGATGCAATTTGAAAAATCAAAGTTAAGAGTGTTTTCCAAAGCGTAATTTGAAAAAAGTTCAATTTTGTTGTGTGTAAAGTAATTCTTTAAATCTGCTGGCCTCTATACAAGCTCTAGGACACCCGGGAATTTAAAATACAATTATATGGAATTTCATAAAAAAAGTGTATTTCTTGATATGAACATTTCGTTGGAGATCGTTTTCCTTCTAATTCATATTTTCTCTGCCATTGTTGAAAGGATATCAATCTATTCCCGCGTTTATTTTAATTTTTTTCGATACGTAGGTATATATTTGAATAAATTGTCCTGAATGGCTATAAGATGCTTATTTCAAATAGATAATAATTTTACAGAACACGATATTACCAGAGGCAGTGACATTCTGGGAAAGAGCTCTGTTCGTGAGGAGAACTGAAAATGTTATTCGACTGACGAGGTAAGATACAGCATGATCAACAAATATTTCTCAATTTTTTGTCATTCAGTTTCGTTGGCGTACAGCTTGAACAACAAAAATACAGGGTGTTTCAAAAAAAGGTGACCCCCTTACAAGGGTAGGTAGAACACTGGAAAAATGTCGTAACGTTATCCGTTGTCAAGATACAAGGTGTTGAAAAAACTGTTTTCCTTTTTTTTATCGCTTGGTAAATTCACTCGTAAATTCACATGAAGAGTTGCAAGAAAAAATTGAACATCACTTAAATGACCTACCACCTGATCCTCACTTGTTTAGAAGAATAATGCATTCTTCAGAAGAAATATCAATAACATAGCACAAAAATAATGTTATTGTTTTTGAATTTAGAATAAAAAGGTAATTGATCTCAATAATACTCATCATAATCAGCCATATTCGAGGCCATATTACTCCATTATTTTCAAATCAAAATATTCCGAAAAAGGTACACATACGGTATCGAGTTTTATCCAGAGTTCCTACCTTCTTGGTGTTGAATTGAATGACGGTCAGGTTCACATGAAATTGGGTCTAAAAAACATCAAAAAAGTTATGTTTGAAATTACTCGGTACAAACAGTGATACTATCGCCCTCTATGAGTGTCGGATATGAAAACAGATTCAGGCGATGTGTCATCTTCCAGAATATATCCATACAAAATTTACTTACAATATTGGCAGTAGTTTCGACATAATCGTAAGAAATGTACAAAAAAATAGATATTTCCAACACCTTGTATCTTGAAAACAGATACCGTTAGGACATTTTTTTACTGAGCAGTGCAGTGTTATTCCTACCCTAGCAAGAGTGTCACTTTTTTTGAAAGACTCTGTATAACTGAAAAAGTCTTGGTGCGTAGCCCATTAGAGAATGTTCCTTTGGGAACGTACGTATTCCCAAGGGAAATATATTGCCTTTCTCTCATAAGATTTACATTAGTGGCACTCCTACGTAATTCCTATTTTCACGAAATAAAAGGTTCCACTGTTATGCTCATACACAATCCGGCCTGAAAAACTTCTGAAATAATAGTTTTCAGAATTAATGCAAAAACAGGTAGCGGATACTCTTTGTGTAACATTCACCCCCGCAACCAAAGAGCATGCCACACATTCTTTTTCAAATTAATCATCCTAAATGTTCTCGATTCTTTGTATTCATTCACTTTGATGAGGAGATTTCTGAAATGTATACCTAATTCATTGGGTTTGAAGCGAGATTTCGAGCTTATCGTTCAAGAACTGCAAATTATTTGAATTCAGAATAAGCTACCCTGAATATCTTTTGATATACCTAATGGATTTCAGACAAAAACATGTTTATATCTTCGATTTTAACATATTTGAAGGTATGCTAATCTGGGTTAAGATTGATTGGTTATCAATTTTACAAGATGTATTTCTTCGTGTTTCGACATTTCAAGAACTGTGTATTTAAAAAATATGGAATATTGTCATGATAAAAACTGGTCCAAAAAGGTTTACAAATTTTGATACAATTATACTTATGAGGCCCGATTTCTTTCAAATTTTTGTTAATAGAGAGTTGAAATGTTGCCATGAACGTTAACGTAAACGTAGAAATTGACAGCTATGTATGCGCATTTTAAAATTCTTCACGTTTGCGTTGGTAGTGGGCTTACGGGTGTACGTTATTTCAATTTCAACGTACGTTAACCAAACTATACTCGAAATATGCCGATGAGACAAAATTATCAAATTCGGGATCCCCATGGAGTTCTGCATCAAGGAGTCCTCTCATTTTAACAGGAATAAATGTTCATATCTAAACAAACAACCAAAAATGACCAATACAAACCGAAAACAAAGTTTATTATTATTATCTTTCGATGACAGTGACGACCAAAGTGACGATTTCAACTCAATTTAAAGACAATACGTAAACGTTATTTTTCTTTCGTTAACGTCCACGTGGAGGACCACGTACAGTGGATACTTCAACTCTCTCTCGAAACCGGTCTGTAGGTGTCTAGCGTGGCCTGGGTAAATCGAAATCAATAGGCATTCAGTGAAGAATCACATGTATCAGTATTCGTTTTTACGAGTCGATGCATAGATTTCGGGAGGATGTAACTAATGTTCTGCGTGGCATTAGCCAGGAAAGTAATTGTTTTTCTCCCGAAATCTACCATTGTTGTTCATTTTATAAACATTGTGTGGATGTGACTTTGAGCGTTTTGTATTTATTCTCTATAATGCTGTTCAGAATGCGATTTTCTCAACCGTTGATGGTGGAGAAAAAGAGGATCCAGAAGTTCCAGAACCCAGAACATATTTTCAACTTGTAGACCATTAAAAGTTCGGATAAACGAAAATCTATACCAGGGATGTTCAACTGCAAGTGCCCCAAGGGCCACTTTGAAAAAAAGAACGGATTTTATATAGATACTTCGTATATGCAACTTTATCAGTGAGTTTTAATTAAAAGTGAGGCCGCGAGCCGCATGCCCTGATCTACAGGGTGTTGGTGAAGAAGTGCGACAAACTCCAGGGGGTGATTACTTGTGATATTTTAGGAAATAAAGTTCATATAAACATGTGTCCTAACCTGCTTTGGTTTTGATATACAGGATGTTGAAGTTGGAAGTATTAATTGTTTCCATTTTTAACACCCCTGTATAAGCTTTCATGGTGCCAAAATTCAGTATGGTTGGAGACTGAAAAAGTCGCAAAATTTCAAAATGATTCTTATTGAGGTTATTGAGTAATCTCAATGTATTTTTCGAGAGCACCTACATTAACATTTGGAGTCAAATCGAATTTATATTGTTACCTCAAATACTAAGCAAGATTTAAAAAACCCATAGTGGATAAGGAAGTTGATATTTCAATTTTTCGATCTAATAAAGATATGAAAGTCAGACAAACCAGTGGCGTCAAATGATATTAACCCACTGTGACGCCACTGAAAATACTATTTCGAATTTATTCACATCAAGAGAAGCTCCATTCAACGAAACCACCAAGTTTCATTGAAATTGGTAAAAAGACATTTGAGTAATCATTAAGAAAACGATTTTTTATGGAAATATTAATATGTACCCTGTATCTCGAAAACGAAGCAAGTTAGGACAAATGTTTATATAAACTTTATTTTCTGAACTATCACAATGAATCACCCCCTGAAGTTTGTCGCACTTATTCACTAACACCCTGTATACAAACAATAATGTATATTTGAGATTCAAGTGGAGCCGTCTCCAGTGATAAACACTGATCGCCAACAGCCATGGAACCACCCAAATTTCCGTAAAATGTTATTAGGAAAAAAGATAGGTTGAAAATCACTTCGGATTCGAAATCAGGACGTTCAACTCACTGACTATTCATATTTTGTCTGGAAAATTTTCAGTTCAGAAAAATCGAGTTTTGTCTCACTTCTCATGGAAGCACCCCCGTATCTCAAGTAATTATTGAGGTAGGGTTCTGCAATTTGTAGGAGGAAGCGAAAGGGATGTCCTGATTTTAGAATCCGAAGTGATTTTCAACCTATCTTGCCTCCTTATATCATTTTTGTGGGTGGTTCCATGGCTGTTGGCGAGTAGTGTATATCACTGGAGACGACTCCACTTGGCCATAGTGTGTATTTTCAGTATATCTACCGGTCTTGCAAAGTTCAGAATCCTAACTCAACAATTACGAAAGATACAGGGTTGCTTCCATTAGAAGTGAGTCACACTGTAAAATTTTCTTATCATATATCATATCTTTTTATCAGAAGTTTAAGCTTCAAAACGAGCCTGAGTTTTCAAAAATCGGTTGACGAGGAAAAAAGTTTTGACTGTAAAACCAAAAAGTCAACTTTTTGAGATCACTCTGTAAATGGAAGAGATAAGGAGACAATTCGAGAACTGTCCCAAGATAATGAGGTCATCTACATGCCTCTACTGTCAAAGCTGAAGGAAAAAGTTTTTCTTCATTTGGAATACTTCTGAAATCTCCGAAATTTTGCACAGTTTCAGGTCACACCCTGTAGCGATTTTATGTGAAGAACCTTATGTTTTAAAGAACCACGAGATTATGGCTGAAGGACTGGGCTAGCGAACAGTGTGATCCGAATTCAAATCGTTCAAAGCAGAAAAAGGTTATTCATATTTCAACAGAGGCAAAATTTCAGGATGCGACGAAATAAGTGTTGCGTATCAGTAACGACTTGTCATAATGCTGTCAAGGTCATGGCTAAGTATTGAGAATAAATGCATTCATAGTGACAATAGGTCCATATTTCGATTTCACAGAACTAAAATGGTTGAAATATATTGCTAGTGGTGCAAAAAATTTAATATAAACATTGGTAGCAAAGAATATTATTATACCACGGGACCTTATACCTCTCGACTGAAGCCTCGGGATATGATCTTGGTCCCTTGGTAATAATGATATTCTTAATTCTTTACTACCTTGGTGTAAGTTTGCAGCATGAGCCGAGGCTTGTAGTCAGCTGGTTTTCTCCTAAGTACCTAATGCTCATCTATTAGACAGAGCTGTCATTGCTTGAGATTTGGCATTTCATGGTAGATGAGATTTTGTGAAATAATAACACGATGAAGACATTGTGATAGATATACGGAAATGAAATTGATGACATACAAAGTATACCTCATTGGTTTATCGAACACAGTGAAACAAGAGCAATTTTCTGTTATAGCCGTGAACAAATATGCATACCTACCTGCATTTATCATTCGAATGCTTTCTGAACTTTCATTGTATCCTCTCCAGATTTGACCTTATTTTCATGTCTGGATATTTATTTTGTCCAATCCACAAATTGCATTTTTTCTGCGTTATTTTGTTGTTTCTCAAATGAAATATCCAATTTACAAAGAGGCGAACAATTGAAGGGAGACTATAGGAAAAAACTATTATCAAGCTGCGTTTACTTTGATAACTAGCTCGGCAAAGCATAAGAAGATATAAATTTATGGAGCTTCGCCTGAACATTTCCTATAATAAGGTAGGTAACTGCTACAGTGATTCCATCAGTCACTGTAATACTGCTTTTTCTTATAGTCCAGTAATACAAGAACTTAGCCTTGAAACATTTTTCCAGTAGGTGATCATATCAATCTGAAAATTCACCCAGTATATAGTTTTTGCAGATGGTCAAGTACAATTTTCAATGTACACAAGGAGACAACGGAAGTGAGGTATTTGAAATTTTACTCACACTTTCCTAGATTTTGTCAAAAAACGATCAACTATATATAGAGAGTTTGGTTACGCAAATGTATTAGTTTGAAAATAAATATGAGAAATTTTATAAAGAAAAACATTTCGATTGCTTTTGATCTATGATTATTTACTATTCCTCCTGTTTTCAGAGCTGATTTCAGAAATATCAATTTTCTTAGCTGGACAAAAACATGTGAAATTCAGCATAAAAATCTTTTCTAAATCGAAAGGTGAGGGATTCTAGAGATCTTAGGAGCAATCAACTCTAATATTCCTAGACAGTTGAACATGAGACAAAGATTTATTCACGATTATAAACTAAGATTATAAAAACGGATGATTCATTTTATGAAACAAAACAGGAAATCTGGACATAAATGACGTAATAAAAAACACCACTTTCTGAACTTGAAAACTTCGTAGGAAGTGAGAGTATGTAGGTACTATCTATGTAGGAATATCCTAACTTCAATTCAACCTTCCATTAGACAGGCATATTTTGTAACTCCCGAAGGTAAACCATGCCACAATTGGTTATAATATTTGGAGGTGTATCCATCGCAATTTGTAGTCTAATTATTAGGTATACTTACTCGTTTATTTGAATACTTGAATAGTTACTCTCCTTTATTTGCTGGCATATCATACGAGAACCTAAAGATAACGAAGCAGTCCCATCTCGTGATATGTTGGGATACATGTTAATTGATGAGTATTTTTTGCGAAAAAATTGTGGAGGCCGAGTCTGATTAGGAAGTTTTACGCTGGTCCGCTAATAGCATGACGTAAGCCCAATAAGATCATTGGTGTACTAATTTCAAGTTTCAATGATTTTTTCCTTCCTCTCGAGACCTAGAGTGCCGTTGATAAATCTAAGATTTCTGCGAGCAAATGCACATGCTTCCATACTGCATTACTTGATTCATTGTCACCAATATGACTATAAGGTTTGGGAATACTTCGTGTACTTTAGGCCCTCGCCATATCAGTACCATTGGATTCATTTATTACTTATTCTAATGAATTACCGATTTCTTGAATTCTATTAAAAAACTCACAATCCTTGAAGATGCAAGGTACTTATTTACAAATTGATTATTGTTGTTTTACTTCATTAGTTGGGAACAAATTTCGTATTCCATCATTGGGAGTGTGCCAGTTCATATTGCGGAGATCACTATAGTGCAGTTTCAGTGTAATACTAGTGTATATCCCTATACTGACTGGACTATTAAAAGCTTCGCATCATGCATGTCAAATCAATATTCAATGTTTTTTTTCTAATTAATTCTTCATCACCTGGTTGAATGATAACTTGTTTTGTACAGTAATTGATGTACTTTCCTACTGATTTTTGCCTGATTATTAGATCGATCATAACACTTTGGATTAACCCAGGATTTATTTGAATTCTTAGAAATTATGCGATATAGAATTGATCGATTTATTGTCATGATAAAAACATCATAATGAAGAACTTAGTCATAATAGCATAAATATAAATAATAGCAATTTACAGTGTGGCACACTTAAGATCAACACACCCCTGTGGCCTTGTGGGTATTTCCCAAGGATTGGTATTTCCCCTCGTATTTCCCTGTATTCAAGTGATTACTAGATGAAGAGATTCAATTTTCACTATAATACACTAATTATTGTAAGAAACACATGTTTGCCTATTCTGTTGCATCGGAGAATTCTGTTGAAATATCTCGATATCACATATTCTTCAGCTCTATTCATAATATGTCATCGCATTGTCACATAACTATTCTGGGAATATTTCTGCTATGTTGAAGAACAATACGCTTATTTTATGGTCTATTTGGATAGGTGAATTGTTGAATGAGAAATACCATTCAAACGGTTGCCGATTACGCATACTGTGTTTATTGCTATTTATTTAAATAATGTTGCTGCTTTCGAAAATTTCAGGCACTGTTTCTGTGGGAAAATAATGCCAACTATATCAAGGACTATTAGAAAGAAATGATATTCATTGTTTTTTTTTATTGCAGTCAGTTGCTGCAATATCTTCACCGTTATGTTTTCTAGATTTTCTTCGGGACTATATTTTGTTGAATGTGCATTCGAAATAAAATATAATTTCGAAGGAATTATCTTGTTTCAGAGATCAGATTATTTTATCATCCTGAAAGTAGGTAGGTGGTAACCTAATCTATATACACTATCACAAACCGTATAATGTATCATATCTCGAAAGATCTGTAATTATCTTAAATCTTCAAGTCACTAAAAATGCAAAGGAGAAGTCCGCCAACCAATCTATTGTTGTGATTCTTTGTGTCGCATGTTTCACACAACGGCCAATTTTCTGAAAACACCCTGTATATGTTCCTACTACTCATATTTATTTGCGATATCATGAATATCGGAACGTACTTCCAATCTCTCTTTGTATATATTTCAGATTCTCAGACTCACGATTCTTGTAAAATGTATCTATATTACTGATGATTCCGTTCAGCATTCACAAAGTTGTTATTGAAATATTCTCGAAATTATATTTCATATAATCTGAATCTCATTTGAAACTCATATCATTAAACTTATTTGTTTCCTTCCATGGAATATACCGAATTCTAATGAATTCGAAATGAAATCAACTTATCATACTTCATTCATTTCCTAATATCCTCGCGCAATTGGATAAATGAACGGGACTATATATGGTGACAATTTGACAACGACCAGCCCTCAATATTTCTTTAATTTTGCCTAAATCAAGATAACTCCTGCATCTCAGTTATAAAAGACGGAAGACACATCAGTGGGGGGTGATTTGTCCTCTATCTACAGGTATCGTATGTACATACATTTAAATCTAAAACACCCTGTATAAGTAGCACACTAGAATAAAATATTTAGTTTTAATCTTAACCTGAAGATGCTAATAACATACTTAGTTAGCGAAACACGTGTCGAGGCGTGGTAAAACAGTGTAGTAGGTGGGGGTTGCTATTAAAATATTAGGCGTAATTTCCCCCTGACGGTAAAGGGGTTGAATAACATATAACAACAAATACCTCAGTTATCTTCCTCGATATACAAGGTGTCCCGAAATTACATAACCTATAAGAATGAAGCCAACTACCTTCTGCATTCCTGCTCCGAGTGCATTTGTGGTTATGTATGTTTTTGTTTACCAGTTTCACTCCTTCTTCTATTTTTTCAATCGTTTTTCATTCGTTAGCTATTCGTTAGCTATTCGCTAGCTATATTCTTCACCATCAGATATTTTCAGACTAGATTCAGAATGGACGTCACAGTTTGCCGCCCCGAAAATTAGAAATTGCTTTAATTTGAAAATGAAACCGACTTGGACTTCATTGGTCGCCATTATGTCCAGCATGGACATAAAACTGGAGAGTTCCGAACTTATTTTATGAAAATTCATCTGAAGGAAACTTCCCCATTCTTGATTTTTTTAGGAAATGCAGTGACACGCAAGTTTTCGTCAAAGATGGCTGGACGCATTGCATAGATACTTGCAAAGATAAAACTATGTGCGGCGAAGTTGAAGTTCCCGAAGACCATTTGGACGCTTGCAGGACATGCAATTCCACAGGACAAAACTGCGGGGTGGCTCAAAACTCCCGCCCCGGCAAAGGCATCCCGGATTTCGATTTCGTTTTTTACGTTTCCGCCATCCAAACCGAAAGGTGCAACAAGTCCCTCACAGTGGCGTACGCAGCTCATTGTCAACAGGAATCTGCTTTGGACAGGTCAGTACGTGCTCAACTGTTTATTGCATTTTATTACCTTACGTCTCACATATATGGCAGCAATCTATTGAAAAATATGGTGAAACCTTAGCCGTGACGCTTGATATCTCCAAAGCATTCGATCGAGTCTGGCACCACGGACTTCTCGCCAAGCTTCCATCTTATGGCTTGCCTCCCCAGCTATGTTCTCTGCTAGTTAGTTTTCTCTCAAACAGGTCTCTCGATGTAGTGGTCGACGGAGTTTCATCTGACTCTCTTACCATAAATGCTGGTGTTCCGCAAGGATCAATTCTAGCACCAACACTATTTCTACTCCATATCAACGATTTGTTGAAAGCAACATCATGTCCAGTACACAGCTTCGTGGATGATAGTACCCTCCATACCGCCTTCTCTTCCAGGGCTCCAATACCAGCCAGGCAAATCAGAAAAGAACGAGGGAGAAATGTTGACAACCTAAATATGGACTTGGCAACAATTCTCGAATGGGGATCCAATAACTTGGTAAATTTCAATGCAAACAAAACACAAACATGCCTTTTCTCTAGAAAAGCCGATCTCACTGTGCCAAACACAGGGCATGTCAGGATTAACCATACCTTTGAAGACATCCATTTCGATGCTTGGTATTACTATCGGCAATAAACTTTCTTGGGAAGATCACGTGAGATCAATTGCTAAAAGTGCATCCCAAAAACTTGGTTTTCTGTTTCGGGCCAGGAGCTATTTCACTTCCAGTCAGCTGCTTATGATCTATATGGCACAGATCCGACCTGTCCTGGAATGATGTTCCCATATTTGGAGTGCGGCACCCAAACATACCCTGAAACTGTTGGATTCTGTCCAAAAAAGGGCAATTCGTCTCGTGGGTGATGCCTCACTCACAAACTCACTCACTTCTCTGGAACACCGTAAAAAAGTTGGCGATCTGGCTCTATTTTATAGATATTCTCATGGACGATGCTCTCCTGAAATATTAACAATTGTACCTCCCTTGGCAGTTTCCGCGAGATTAACCCGTCGAGTTGAAGCTTTGCACCCCTTCGTGGACACTTTATGGAGACCTGCAGAACATCTCTTTCCAAAGACTCATTCATCCAACGAACAGCGATGCTCTGGAACACATTGCCAAGGGATGTGTTCCCCGAAGCATATAACCTCCAGAAATTTAAGAAGAACACCAATTCCTACCTTATTTCCCTTGGTTCCCACGATGTTCTCTGAACATTACAGGATATCCCTTTTCGTGGGAACCAGAACATAAAAAAAAATGCAAGCATATATTGTTACATTGCCAACTGTCCAGTGTGCTAATAATATCATATTCTGTATTGTTATATATGCGCTTACCTAGAACATGTAGATACACAACACAAGAGCAATATTGTTGCCTAAATCAAGGTAACTACTTATAAAATACGGTAGACACATCAATTGAGGGTGATTTGGAACCATCAAAGTGTCTTATTTCTACATGTACATTTAAATCTGAAACACCCTGTATAAGTAGCATACTAGAATATGATAGGAATCTGCTTTGGACAGATTAGTATACGTGTTCAACTATTCATTGCAGAATGCCTCATTACCACATGCAAGCATATTGTTACATTGTCAACTGTCAAGTGTGCGAACATCAGATTCTGTATTGATATATGCGCTTATCTAGAACATGTAGTTTTAATTTGGTCACAACACGAGAGCAATATTGTTGAAGTATGCACTTATGTACAAATATTATTTTCACTCGCGGTTACATTATAATATTTGGTCATATATATTTCCAATTGTTATAGAAACAGGCAGACATTTTCAGTGAGATGGAGATGTACCTACATTGGAACATTCTCGGTTGAATTTGCGTCTTAAATGCTTTGACGTCATGATATATTCTGATATACTCTATGATATGTGAATAGTTAATATCTGATGATTACATGAGGGAGTTTGGTTTTTGAAATGACAATCGGCAAATCTTGTAGTCTAGGGAAGAAGGAAATACTGGGTTCACATATGTTCGTTCATTTATCTACGGTTGATTTGTTTGTTGTTTCAGGCCAATCGCTGGACATGCCAATCTTTGTCCAAACAGCATCAGTACGAAACGTCAAGAGTTGGAGACTCAAATGTCGACTGTCAAACATGAAATTCTCCATGCGCTAGGCTTTTCAGTTAGCCTGTACGCCTTTTACAGAGATCAGAGAGGAAGTCCTCTGACTCAAAGAATATCTGAGACGGGAAAGCCACCCCTCAACGAATCGTAAGTATATATAGATCAAGAAGGAACACTTTTATGGTATGAATAGCAAACTGACGTTGCCCGGGGGTTTAATTCTCCTAAGTCTCCTATATTGCGCTCTTGCATTACAATCATAAAGGTTTCATATTTACATTTTGCATAATCAATAAAGAAGTTTCGCTCGAGCGCTTTGATGGGCTCCGAAACAAAATATTATGGTTATTTTGTTATATTCGTGACCGCCTTAGTTTTTATATCGACAAATTGTTGCAATGGTTTATTCAAATCATTAATTTGACAAAATGTTGCTATTATACCAAAGCTTATAAAGGTTACTCATAAAAAGACTGAATTCATTTAGTCAATCAAGTATAACGTCCTACATCTATTTATGCAGGGTGCTTCAAAATTCGAAACAAAGATTTTAAGGAGATGTTGCTGGGGTCTTAATAATACTTTTTCTTTCAACATACGCTGATGCTCTTAGATTCCATCTGGAGAAGAGCCATCCGCCTGGTGGGTGACGCCACACTCATTCACTCTTTAACATCATTGGAACACCGTAGAAAGGTCGGCGACCTTTCATTTTTCTATCGATACTTCCACGGGAAATGTTCTTCGGAAATCTCTATCATCCCTTCACTAGCAATACCAGTCAGACGAACTAGACCAGCCCAATCAGCACATCCTTTCGTTGTCAACCTCGAAAGATGTCGAACAGCACTTCATCAAAACTCCTTCATCCATAGAACGGCTAGGCTCTGGAATTCATTGCCTGAGGAAGTATTTCCAACAACATATAATCTCCAGAAGTTCAAAAAAAATTCCAATACCTACCTCCTATCCCTATCCTCCCTAGGAACGCACGATGTTCTTTGAACATTATAGGGATTCCCTTTCGTGCGCTCCAAGCGATGAAAAAATAATAAACATGTGTCCTAAAATGCACCCCCCCCTCCTTCTGAGCAACAGCCACTGTAGAATAAAAAAAAATCATCTTATTATCTGAAATTGTGACTAATATAACGGATCAAATCTTCTAAAAATTGGCATACCCCTGTCTTTTTGGATACTCTAGTCTACATCCTTCTTGCTTCAAAAGTGATGTGAACCCAGTTTTCGGGGAGTTGGAGGAGGGTTCACACTTTTATTGGCCCAAATTTTATGTTTAGAAAGAGAAATTGTGACTTTCAATAGCATGATCTTGTGAGCCATAAAAAATTGAAGAATTCGGTATCTAGCATTTTTCCAATACAACTAACCGTTTTCCAGAAAATCATATCAACGAAAGGGGAAGTCACAACATCGTTTTCGAACGCAATGGGCTATACGCTTGCATACGGAGGTGATCGTATGTCCGAACGCATTTGAGACTGCTATTTCAGAGACGTGCGGAGTCTTTCGTTTTTTACCCAATTTATTGTGGCTGTAGCTCGAGGCGGGTTCGTTTTAAGAAACATGTTTATATGAAGAAACAGTCTCATTTTGATCTCAGAAATACGCCCTTGAAATATTTTGAATTTTGAATCACCCTGTATTATTGTATATTCCAAAAGTTTTTGATAATCATCAGTCTGATTATTCTCAGCTAAAAATGCCTTCGACGTTCTTGATTCAATCATATTAATTGTGTTACAAAGTAAATTTACCCATCCAATTTAATGATATTGATTCAACCTACCGGCTCTAATATTTGATTTATTCCGAATTCACCAGGCTCCAGACATACCAGTGGAGTGACAAAGTGATAAAAACGTTCACAAGGCCGAATTGGCTGGTTAAAGCAGGTTACATTAAACGGGACGTTCAAATCATGGTGACGCCAAATGTAGCAAAGGAGGCTAGAGCGCACTTCAATTGTTCCGAACTGGAGGGAGCTGAATTAGAAGATCAAGGTGAGGAAGGTACGGCCCTGACGCATTGGGAGAAAAGAGTGTTTGAGGTGAGCGATCAGGCAATGCGAAACTATGGGATATCAGGATATTTTTGATGAGCATAATAATTATATTGTTGAAGAATGAAGCTATGACGGGAACACACACGCAGAACCCAATTATTTCTCGTATAACTTTGGCACTGATGGAAGATACAGGGTGGTACATAGCAAACTACTCAATGGCTGAAGATATGTCTTGGGGAAGAAACTTGGGGTGTGATTTCGTACTGAAGAGTTGTAAGGAATGGATCACAACGAAGTCTGCAAGGTGAACATTTATTTTAATAAATTAATGAAATGCTTCCGAATCATTTAAAATTTCAGACTTTTTGGTATTCATTGTTTCAATACAAAAAGATATGTACCATTTTGGTAATGAATTTCGTGTTTCTAGGTATTACCGGTATTACCAATTCATCATTATCATTTGTTATTGCGACACTTTGCGCACTAGCTGTGAGTGGAGCTAAAGTCGTTTGCTAGATTAATGACAATCTTAAAATGGAGTTGCTTGGTCAAATTTCAACTTGTGTAGCACAATTATGGAAGCCTATAGTGGTTGGTCAAATATATAATCTTCAGGAGAACTTTCAAGAGCACTCTGGACCTTATAGTGGAAGTAACAGATGAGGCCTTTGAACAAGAAGTTTTTGAATGATTTCAAATTTATAATTGATAATCTTTCTGCTGGAATAATTCACAACGAAAGTAAGGCTGCTATAACCTAACCATAATCTCTTTCAAAAGCAGTATATTTTTGCTGGAATTAAGTTGTCAAATCTTAATTGTTATGTCATCGATGAGATCGTGTTTAGGAAAAGACACATTGGTGATGCATCGCGAGGTTATCAATGAGGACTTTAGAATATGGTTTGGGTCTGATACATTTATATACTTCTTATAATCATTTATGCTCATTGAATTACATTTTCGTGCAATTATATAAGGTTCATTTCAGAGTTGTCTTCAAGATTTCATCGTGTTATTTTTGCGTTCACCAGATTTGATACTGCCAATCCTATTAAATCGGTTGAATCGTGAAATGATATACATCAAATTTGATCTTTTGCCACGCCTTATATGGTTCAAATAGTTCAAACGCAAGTATTATTTCGTTAAAGCGTGTAGAATTTCGGTTCAGTGGATTTCAGTTGAAATCCTCCAGTTCGGGAATCTGTTCATTTAAATACGATACACACGCGTAATTATCTCAGGAATTAATGAGAATTTTGATGAAATATTATGTTATAATCGTTTGGACTAAAAACATAATGTAGGTTCAGGTAATATTAAAATTACACGGCTTTAAATATCTGTACCAGGTGAAAACATATATTCTTCCATTCTTTAGCATAGTCGTTAGGGTTGTTGGATCTGAAAATTGTTTTTTTAAGAATTATACATTGAAATTAAAAATCCAGAATTTCACTAGTAACACTTCTGATATGAACATTATTTTTGAAAAACGATTAGAGAGATAGATAGATAGCATATATATACTTTTTTAAACTATGTAATCGCACTCAGAATCGCCTCCGGGATGAAAAAATCTAAAAATACACAGGGTGTTCCATCTGAAATCTCAAATTTGGGTTCGTTACAGATGCAATCTGAAGTGGTGGGATAGTATAAAATACTGAAATACTTCAATTAGTGATTTTTGGTACTGCCAATTCCAAGTCAAATATAATTAGAAATTAATCAATCAATCAACTTTTAATCTCCAAGAAACTCATTCGAAGATGTAATCGATTTAATGACTGTTCAATATTTTTCCATGATTTTTAGTGTTTTAGTTTTGCTGTTTATAAAACACGAACAATTAATTAAGGTCGACTGATCGAAAAAAGTTTAGTAACTACTTTCAAAATCGATATCTGTGACTCTTAGAATATATTTTTCTTCTTGTGTCATAACCAATGTCATAACTCGTTAACTCATTTGGTCGTTCCATGAAAATCGAATAATTTTCTCTCGAAAACAAACTTCTGATGGCATCTCGGATGGCATTTGATAGGTTCAGTTTGGTAAGATCGGTACAAAAGATGTCAGTGATTTTTCGCAGAAAATGTATCCACGTAAATTGAATGGTAGAATCCCTGGTAATTTCTGTTTGGAATCCCCGAAATATGTCGGTAGTTCGTGGATTTGGATTATTATAAGCCTTCAAAGAGATTATATTCAATCTTCCAGTTTGCATAGGCAATATATCGGTACACACCCTCACACATCCTTTCACTAACTAACTTGATAATGGTTTCTAGTCACCATATTATAACAAAATGATTCTGTTTTTGGATAAATATAATCACGAATCTGCGTTTAAAGGTCTATGAAAATAACAAGTTCCCATCGTTCAACTTTGAACCACTTGATTGGGTGAAAGTATTGAAAAGAAATATTCTCAGATAAATTATGAACATGAAAAAATGGATATACAGGGTGTTTCTTAAATACGTGTAGAAACTTCAGGAGCATGTTGCTGACGTCAAAATAAGGAGAAAAGTTCGTATAAATATATGTCAAAGTTGAATTCTTATTATTGTTTTTTGATAATAAATGTCAAATTAATTGTGATGTTCGAATGAAATTTGGTATCTAGGGGTAATTTTCAATGACAATATCGAATTTTATGTTAGTTTGTCTCTTTCGTTGGGGTTTCGATGTCTTTTGAGTCTTTTGAAATATTATAACTTTTGTGCGTACCTGTATACCGTTTCATAGTAGAACAATAGATTTCTAGAGCACTTTTGTGTAAAAAATATATTCCTGGTAGAGGTCGCTGCGAGCAACTGTTTTCGAGTTATTGGGATTCGAAATAATCGATAGATCGATAGATATAATCCAATGTTCGTCTTGGCATATACCCAGGAAAGTAGTTGATTTCTGTTGAATAAACCGAGAAAGAATTGATATTTTCATCACGGAGAGAATGCGAATTCTCAATTTATTTCTTTATACATATCCATTTTTTCATGTTCATAATTTATCTGAGAATATTCCTTTCCAAAATAATTCTGCTTGTCCAATAAAGATGGTGTTAATCTCATAGTTATTTTAAATGAATGGTATGGGTGTTAATCTCATAGTTATTTCAAATGAATGGTATGAATAATAATAAGCTATTCCTCAATAACTCAACAACTACTATTATGCATGAATATTTTGAGTAGCTAGATGATTTCGAGTCTACATAAATTATAGAGGCACATTTTTTTCAATTACTGAAGTAGTCCTTTGGCCCAGGGGATATTCCATCCATCCATTCTGTAATAAAGTGAAGCGGGATCCACTGCAAACTGAATGCACCGATGACCGTACATCTGTGGCTCTATGTAACCTTGTCGAACATAAAGAAGAATTGCCAATGCTGTACCAGGTAAATACATATTATATCACGTTGACGCATTGCAAAAAGATTACTCGGCCTTCGAGCCAGTGGGTGTAATAATAGGATTTCAATGATATTCGTTATATATTCCAGAACTTCGATTCTATCCAGTATGTTGATAGCGGTAGGGAAGGATTCTACGGAGGTTCAGTCTCGCTAGCAGACTATTGTCCTTACATCCAAGAATTCACTTGGAGATCGAAAAATGTCGTGGTGAGAGGATCCCATTGCAAATATGCTGAAAACGATCCGAGTAAGTTTTTAAATTATCTTTATTAGGTATTCATATAGGTAGGTGGTTAATAAAATAGAACCTCGAATAAAACCTTCCATGGTGAAAAAAAATACTTCATCTAACAATATTTATAAACATCCAAGGGTACGAAATTATCTCGAATATATTTGTTTTATCAGTTCTTAGTTCTTCATCTTATGAATATAATTTTACCATTCCCAAATAAGTATACCTACTTACATAAGCTAGTGGGAGTATAGTGCATCGATACTGTTGTGGTTGAGACTGGCAGATATCTCGGTGGTTATTGTAGGTTTTCACGTTCCTGTCCTATTTTTTTGTGAAACATGATGAACCTCGTGATGAACGAATCAGATTCTGCATATGTTTTTTACTTTTATGAGATACAATTTTGAAAATTCATACTTTTTGCACCCTTTCTATATCTACGAAGGGATAATGGGATAATGTTGCACTGAGAACTATGTCCTTCAGAGAATTTTGAGAATCCATAGCAGAAATTCATCTTTTTATCTCTTGGAGCGCACGAAAGGACAGGGAGAGAAGGTAGGTGTTGGATTTTTTTCAACTGTCGGAAGTTATAAGTTCTTGGGAATACTACATTGTTCGAGGGTTTTCAAGGTTAACGACGAAGGGATGTGCTGACGGCCTGTCAGTTCGCCTGACTGGTATTGCTAGTGAGCAGAGACTTCTGAGGAACATTTCCCGTGCAAGTATCTATAGGAAAGCGTCAGCATTTCTGGAAACCCTATGTATAAAGTATTATGCATCATTTTGAATGAAAACAAATAAGAAAATACAGGGTGATCCATTGAAAGATATATAAGTTCGTGTCGTATCTCCAAAGCCAAACAAAAAAAAAAAGAGTACGCCACTGGATTCTGCACAAAATTCTCTGTTAAACATAGTTTTTAGCACAACATTATTCCTTATAACTATTATCATTAAATAAATTTTCAAAATCGCCTAGTATCTCATAAACTGAAACACAAAAAGTAGGAGAGGAACGTGAAAACCGCTTCTCTATCTTCAATAATGCCGAGAAACCCGGCAGTATCAACCAAAACGGGATGCACTGTACTTAGCCAGTAACTAGGCACTTCATTACTTAATACCTACATGTTGATTCTACCAAGAATTCTACTGCTGATAAATCGAAAAATTGACTTTTGAAGAGCTAAATGATTCCAGTATTCTGGATGACTGATCCTCAACTAGTTTTACTACTTATGTTAAATCATTGATGAGCTCAGCTTATAAAATACCCTACTCACGTTTCGTCATATTATATCATTAGAATCATGACCACCTTCAATTTCAAGATGATTTTGATATCTTGGCATAACACTGAACTTGAACAAGTAACTGGTTACTGATTATGTCGCGTATTAGAAATAGATATTCCATAAACTGTGATTAGAATAGTGATTCAATGAGATATTATTGACACTGCTGAATGATTTGCAATAGGTAAAAATTAAAAAATCTTCAGTCATCGTGAGTTCTATTGAATATTCAAATTGAGTACATAGCAGTTTGTATTAAATATCAATTTTTCAACTGGTTTACTAATTATTCTATGTAACTTTAACTCGGAAAGGTTATAAACCGCTTTTGCTACGAAATATTGTGGCTTTTTTCAAATGCTGTTTAACTCGAGGTTTTTAACCAATCCATGTTACTTATATGTGTGTCCAGAATAATTGTGTTGTTCATTGTTGATTTTTCCCATGAGCACAAGCAATTGAAAAACACGACACATACATACAACAGTCGAAATTTGTTAAAAACTAACGATCCCTTACATCCATTATTTCATGTTGAATGGATATAAGCTTTTTTCTTTCAGAGCCGGATAAAAATTTTGCCCTCGAAAAGTATGGGGAGAAGTCCCTTTGCTTTGACCATACCAACCATATGTGGGAGGAAAGATCTTGTAGGCAAATGCGACAATGGCAACACTGGGGATCAGGTTGCTATGCCTATAGATGCGAGAATGGTAGATTGCACATTCTGGTGGGTAGAGAAATTTCTGCATTCAAGTCGTACACGTAGTAATATACAGTGTGGAAACTTATGATGGAATAAAATACATATCTCCATAACAGAGATACATTTTTGAAAATCCTTGGAGAGGTCAATTTTTATTTCTGAAAATCTATTTTTTACGTGAAATTGTTCAACCACCTACAGATCAACCCCTTCAAAATGTTCAAATTATACAAGAGGTCAAGTTGCACCTTGTAAGAGAGGTATTTATTTCAAGTCTCGATACAATGGTCTATTTTTTTTTTCAATTCAGAGCAGTCGGAAGATTTAAAATTCATTGGAATTTCTATCCAAATTATTGGCAATGGTAGGTGATCTTTCATTGTACATAGGCGTAGACGGACATTCATTATAAAAAGCTGATTGGAAATGTAGGTAAATTTACTTTACAAGTAACACAATGAAAGTGGTTAACATTTTTTATATAAAAAAATAGATTTTCATAACAAAAAATCGACCTGTCCGAGGATTTCTCAGAATATGTTAGCTTTCGAGAACCAGCCACTGATGATTGCACCACCTCCTCTGTGACTGGGCCCACCTAAGCTATTCTGATGACCAGGCAAAATGCACAATTCCAGCAGTCATCAGTCGTTGACAACCATATTGAGAACTGGCTTTTTCTCATTTTGTTATTCAAAGTTTCATCAAAACGAATCCTTTCGATAATATTTAGTTTGATTTTGACGTGAATCTCTCAAATATATTCTGAATATGGAAATACGAAATCATAGGTTTCCACACTGTATATCAGAGAAGATATATAGTAGGAGAAAAGTATTATTCGATATAATAAAATGATCTTCAAAACTGTCCAACAAAAACTGTTTAGGTGATATGAAGAGGACCTTTGCTTTTTGCCTTGAGGATCCAAAATCGCTAATAACCAAGTAAAATGAAGACGATTATTATATATCATCAATTGTTCTCTAGGTGGGAAATTATTCTTATGAGTGTTTCCATGCAAATCAAGAGATTTCTATAAGAATAATCAGCACTGGGTGGCTGCACAAGGGTGCTATCGTCTGTCCGCCATGTAGAGAAATATGTGCCGTAAGTATCTACCTCCGAACTCACAAAATATGCGTAATAGATCTATCTAATCGTCTTATTTGATGCTAACTAAACTTTTCCATGGACATCAAAATCTCATAGTGACGAATTCTTTTGTATACATTTTAGTCATGCCTTCAGAAAATAAAGTGAGGAAAGGTAGCCCACATGAATAATTTTTGTTAACTGATTAACTATTTCGGTTGTAATGGCCATCTATAAGCCAACCCACTGATAATATCGTCTGTTTTGAATTTGCAGAAAGAGTTCGAATCAAGAGGTGAGAGTTGCAAAATTGGCGACGAATCTCCCCCTTCCACTTCTTACCCTAGAGATGACCTTCAGTGTGGTAGCAGTGTTGCCAAAGCGACTAGTTTATTACTTGTCCTATTATTGTTTCTACCTCTTCTGTCAAATGCCTGAAAAAGAGTTGGTGTACCTTTATTGTGTCATAGTCATAGTTAATTTGATGTTTTCACAGGGCATCATAAGTCAGGACTGATTATTATTTCTTTCCCTTCATTTTTGCATCTAGCTTCTATTTATTTGTTCAACTAGTTTTTTTTTGAATTTCCGAAGTTTCCTACACCGAGAAGAATGGGTAGCTATGTCTTGGTCATGATGCCATGATGGAAACCAAGGTAATATGGTTTTGAAAACGTCACCATTAGATGTGTTTCTATTACGCCCTCGAGGCCAGATAAAATCATTCTTTGCTGAATAGAAGCCAAATTATGATTCAACAATTGCTCAACTAACAACTGAACATATAAGATGATCATCAATTGGTCATAAAGGAGGTACCTACTGCTTTTCTTGAATGTTTGTTTTAGTCATAATGTTGAAATGATAATTGCAAAAACGACTTCATTCATGCTGAAAAATATTGACAATACTCCTGGTCATGGCAGCTATTTTTTGTAATGCGAGTTATTTGGTGACCATTTGCTCTGGATATTTTTTAGACAGCTATCGGGCAAGCCCAAAGTATGAGCACAAAACAATTGGAATGGGCTTGGACGTATATATATTGAGTATCACCAATGATTTGTTGCCTATTTCGCCATACGAAATCGTCTATGAAGGTGAATTAACAGGTGAATTAGCATATATAAATTTATGTAGAAGTATGCCTAGATAAGAAACATAATAGGTATTTCACTGCTATTAGCGCAATGGGTCGAATTTGATTCCCTGTTAGAGCAACAAATTTATTATGAGAAACGGCTGTGGATAGTCCTATACAATTCACTTTGATCTGCTCGTAGGGTGGCGATTGTAGTAAGTAACAAGGCCTACTCAGAATTGATTATCCAGAACACTGGGCTGAAGGACGTCGATTGAGTTGATAACCTTCATGGGGAATTTGTTGCAATACTTTCTCCCAATCTGGGGATATACCAGACTTTAAAAGTTCAGCCCTGGTGTTGAGCAATCTGACAAGACCTATTCCGTCGGTGGTCCAGCGGTTAAGCACGATTTTCTCATAATCTATAGGCATATCAATCGCGAGTTCGATTCATGGGCGCGGTACTTGGATTTGTATTCAACTATGCTGTATACAATATATATCGTACGGTTCGTCAGCCCTTATGCCACCGAGGTTTGGGTCTACTTGTATAAACTGTAGACACCCTGTCACCACAACTCGTACAATCCTTTCGAGTGTTTCTGAAGGTTGTTTAGGCAACCAGGGTGATGAGTTCCAACTATTAACGAAACTTTTTTCAATACAAATATGATTATGCTTAGTTTTGTCTGATGCAATCGATCCTTATGTTCTGATCTGTGTGCTCACCATATTATGTCAATTTGATCCAACGCATTCCTTTTGAATAACTGAGTAGGTGATTTCTTGAATAAAGTATATATTGTCTCTTGAGTTGTTGGTCAATTATGAGTCACGGTTTTGGAAATCTAGACAATCATTCTAATATTAGTTGAATCATTCCATTTTTATTCTCGCATTCCATTTTTATTTCTGCATTCCATTTTTATTTTTGCCATAAAGAAAAATCGAAAGGTTTGTTTCATGGTATGAGGCAATAATAATAATTCATATAGATAATGTAGACCAGTGTTTGGTGTGCCATTATTATGATGTCAAGAGTTTATCTATTTGTGACCACTTTTCCATGAAGAAACCATGCAAGTCAATAACTGATCTGATGAATTGACCTGATGAACTACAAATACAAAATGCACAATTATACACTGTCAATCGTTCAATTACTTCTCAAATATTTTACTGAGCAACTGAATATACCTACAATAATTGAAAGAATATATGAATAAATAATGAATATGAAATTTTACTCAAATATGAGTTCAAGTTTTATACTGCTATGGATAGTGACTAGTTAGCTTTCTAAGATGTTTGAAGAATTGAAGTATAGTAAATAAATGGTTATTATAAGTATGAGGTAATGAGGTGCTGAATTATACAGGGCGTCTAACTATTCAATAGCATAAACTTCAGAGTCTTGTAGGAAGTCTGATTGGATTCTAACTAAGAATTCCATTGATTACTCGAGCATTAATCTCCTAGAAGTTTTTTATTTGGAATTTCACAGAAAGCTTTGTAGCTAGATGGTAGCAGGATTCTTCGAAAATTAAGTTCAAAATCAACATGGCTTATGAAAAGCTATATTCGTTTTCGTTCAGTTAAACTTCCCTACAAAATATCATTAATTTGACTTGATGATAAAACATCATAACATGCCCTGTATTTTTCGGCAAAACAATACAAACAAGAATTATTGAACAAATTCATGGATGTTTACATTCCAAAATTCTTTGAGGCTGTGTAAAAAAGTATTTTACAGAATAGTTCTCCAAATTTTCCCGTATGACAGCGTTTTGAAAAACTTGTATCGTGCATGCGAGGTATCATCTTTGGTAAAAAATTGTGGTGTATTACTTTTATACAACTTATATGTTTATTCTATTATACATGTTTTTACGATTCTGTCTAATTACCAGATGTATTATTATCGAGATTATTATGAGAATACTCCAAGTAGACCCGGTCACTTCTAGCATCAAGAATGGCGACGAGCAAACAAAAACATCTGAAATTGAACACAAAAACGACAACCATTCTCAGTCATCAAGAATTCTTCAATGCGTTTTAACATTGAAAAATAATCAATATGAATGAGAATAAATTTGACCAATATATTATGACGTCATTATATTAGCCACATACCGCGTGGCATACTCAAGACCATATATATATCTACTACTCATATATGGAGCATAGCTGTTCTCAAAGCGGGACCAACTTCTGTCTCTATAGGTAACGAAATCGACCAATAGGCGTTGATGCCGACGTAGGGAAAAAATAATACGAAACTTGTCAAACCAATATGGCTGTTTCCATCCATCACTTTCCGTCTTTATAGATTCAAAAAGTACCTCTCATTTTGGTCCCATTTTTATTGACATATGTATAGGCGATGGGCCATATATAGAAATAGTACATAATATATGCTCAAGACCAACCATCAAAGAAGAAAGGTGACTAACCTACTATTCTTTGCAAACCACCTTACCAGTATAACCTTACGTAATTCTTCAACATATAATTCAGTCAAAAAAAATGCGAAAGAGGTGTCTACAACTACAGGTTAATGACTCAAGTCAATATCATATCTGCCAAAAGCCTTCAACAATAATGTTCCAGAGCATTTTTTCATGAATTTATTGATTAATGAGTAATTCATTATAGTAAACCTACCTTCTTGTATTTCCCACTGAACTATTATCGTCACAATGGATAATATACTGTGTCGTCACATTCAGTCGTCGCGTTGTTCGGAAACGAGTGGGAAAGTTCAAAATTATTTGGATTATGTATAATTATAATCAGATAATCAGTTCTAATGATTGGTTTCAATTGCATTTTGAGAATACTATCAAACAATAGGTATATGAGCAATCCAAAAAACTATATAATTGAATGTAAAACACCCATCACACACATGTACCCAATATGAATATAGCAAATAAGCAAACTTTGGAGCAAATTGACAATCATGAAGTTCATGTCTACCCCTAAGTATTGAAAGAGAGAGATCTCAATCATAATTTGAATAATGTTATCAGAATATTGCAGCATTGAAAAATGTACATTGGAAATTCATCAGTGTGCTTATATATCACTCCTGCTGTATCTTCCGAGGTATCTTCCTTATTATTTAGGTAGGCTTCTTGAATTCACAAGCACACCAGTGATAAATCTCCGATAAATCACCCGAAGAAATACTAATGGCCAATCATATAATATGATCATGATTCCGAATCCGCGTAGACATTTTCAACTCACCTCACTCACCTGGCTTCCTTATATCATTTTCGAATATATCCATATCATATATACAGGGTGTCCCGAAATTAGCCTGCCACCAGCGGCTTCTTCGACCAAAAATAGGAAGAAAAATTCCAATGAACATGAGTCGAGAAATGTCTCCTATATAAGCGGAGTAGCTCCTGAAAGGGGGCTCCTGAAGATGATATTTCTTGAATATTTCCGAAACGCTACGTGATGAAATGATGCAATTTGGTACAAGAACTAAACTTTACATGCCCAATGCAGTGAACATAAGATCATTTCAGGGTTTCATTCAGGAGTGTATAATACAGGGTGGGACTACATTAAATATTGCTCAAACTTCTTCGTCTGCATATTTTTGGACAATTTAATCTCGGATTATGAAAATCCACACCGTTTCACAAAAAAATATTGATGCACTCATATCTTATGCATAACGTGGCCAATATTCAAATCATAGTGGCTATAAAATAATCAAGTACTTTCCTGCTTTTACTATTTTTTTTTTCCATTTCCACTACGCCTCATTGCAATGTTATGCATAACAGCTGAGTAAAACGATAATATTTTTAAATTGCTTTTACTGGATAGTAATAGATCAGATCGTCACGGAACAAGAGTACCTTATTTTTGTAAAGAGGTGCGAAATTTCATAATCCGAGATTAAATTGTCGAAAAATATGCATACAAAAAATTTTGAGCAATTTTTAATGTAGTCTCACCCTGTATTATATACTCCTGATTGAAATCTTGGAATCATTTGTTTTTCACTGCATTGTGCATGGAAAAATGAATTCTTGTACCAAATTGCATCTTTTTATCACATGGAGTTTCGGAAATACTCAAGAAATATCATCTTCAGGAGCCCCCTTTCAGGGGGCCATAGCTCCCTTAGGAGACATCTCGACTCATGTTCATTGAAAGTCTTCTTTCCATTTTTGGTAGTAAAAGCCGCTGGTGAAGTTTGGCAGGCTAATTTCAGGACTATCTGTATATATTATATTCGATGACTACTGATGGCAAGCAGTGTATATTACTGATGATGATTAAATTTAAGGGCCGATGGACATTGAGTGAATGTAAGGTAGCTCTCTCGCTCCTGCATATTTGGAAAACTATGCTAAAACAAGCATATTGTTATTGAAAGATGATAATTCTAACTCTGATATTCTCATTAGACTGGCTGGTTTCCGCGGGTTTCCGCACCTACATAACAATGCACTATTCCATTTAAAAACAAAAGTAAAAATAGGTACGTTTGGTACTACATGAATACCAGCTGAAGTAGGTATAGGTACTTACACATCTTCTGGAAGATCAGGAATCCTGAAAATAAAGAAGCACTCATCAGTCTGTGCTTCGACAATGTTCTTTCATGTACTCAAATAGTTCCTACCGGCTACCCACGAATGTTGATAACTTACCTATAGTTTATCAAGTATAGTTATTCGAAAACACCACACTAATGTCTTTCACTGTAATTAGTTTATAAATATAATAGAATAAGTAGGTTGGTACAATTAGTTTCTGATATTAATAATATAAATCATTTCTATAATTTAAAATTTTAACGGTGAACAGGAACACTCTGCCGGACTCTAACATGAATGACAAGTGACAAAAATTGAACTAGTCAGGAAGTGACTATTGACACGACACAACGTTACCATCACAGAATGTAATGCGACGAAAATAAATAAAAATATATTGGAGTCGAATAGGAAAAATTACAAGTCCCAGTGTTGCCACCTCAAGGGATTTATCTCTTTTTGAGGGACTTTTGAGGTCCACCAGGAAGTAAGGTTTGAGGGATTTTTTCACCCTAGCGATGAAAACCGAAAACTCGGAGGTGTATCAAGGGCGCCACCTAGTATAGAAATGCAGGGATGTTATTGAAGAAGTTGTTCATATAGAGTTCATTGAAGAAACCAAGAAACGTTTTAACCATATATGTACTATTTCTATATATGGCGCTTCGCCTAAACGATATCTCAACAAAAATGGGATCAAAATGAGAGGTACTTCTTGAATCTATAAGGACGGAAAGTGAAGGATGGAAACAGCCATATACATATACGTATTAATAAACAATACGGATCATAACGGGTGCCAGGATGAAGCCAAAAATATGAAACAAATGAATATCCATAAGGATTTGGTGGCATGATAAGCATGCGCCATGCAAGTAGTCATCAAAGACATGCGTTTCGGTGGACAATGACGTTTACTAGCCTTTCAATCAAAGCAGTATGTGTCTGATCGTTTCAAAACTTTTCCTAACTATTTTCGCTATGGAAACAGATAGAGATTATCCGTATTGATTATTAATACGTATATGGCCACATATTGGTTTGACAAGTTTCGTATTATTTTTTCCCTACGTCGGCATCAACGCCGCTTTGAGGACAGCATGCTTTTTATATGAGTAGTAGATATATGCTTTTAACGGAAACTGTGAGATAATGATATTCATTGCACGGGGGATTTACATGAAAATCATATAGCCCTTTCGATTTTCGAGATTTTCGTGTTTTCGTTGATGA